AAGCACCTCCAGTGACCATCTGAGGAGTGGCAACTTGGAGGTGTCCCTAGGGGCAATGTAAATACTGCCTTTTCTGAAAAGGCCGTGTTTGCATGAAAATGCCTCCATATAATGATTATACTCACCAGAACATTAAGCTGTAATTGTTCTGGTGACTATAGTGTCCCTTTAAGGCAAACAAATAATCAAAATCAAGAAGAATACTTTTTTAAAATAAACTTCTAAAACATATGTAACAATTCTAATTTTCAAATCTTTATATCAGTTTAACCCCTTAAGGACACATGACAAGGGTGACATGTCATGATTCCCTTTTATTCCAGAAGTTTGGTCCTTAAGGTGTTAATGGTATATGATGATAATGGTAGTTTGACTTTTGGTAAATTATTTTGACACAACTACCGGTTTTTTTAAGAGCCATTTTGAAAAAGTGATGTTAGAATAACAATGGTAATGGAAAAAGGAAATAAAAAATATATTTCATTTTACTTATGCTAATTTATTAGAACAAAACAATATCTGAATTCAATCTTTAAATTCAATTTAGCAGGACAATAGCGTATGCATTCTCTACAGTTAGAACAATGAAATGTGGAATTCTCTACCCAAAGAGGTTGTTTTATCACATTATGTAGAGATTTTTTTTCTAAAAAGGTTTCAAGGGTATAATTGATCTTTATGTAAACATGTTGTTGATCAAAAGAGAAATCTGATTATGGAGTCAAGAAGGATTTTCCCCCATTTTTTGTGGCATAATTGGAAATGGCTACAATTATTATTGCCCTTTTTTTGGATCAATAGCATAAGAGAATGGGTTTTAAGGTTGAACTTGATAGATGTTTGTCTTTTTTTCAACCTAGACAGCTATGTAACAATGAGAGGTAAAGCTTGAACGAAGCTGTGGAGATATTTGAAATCTTTGAAATTAAGTATTGTAATTGAATAAATTGCTTAGTATATGTCGCTTATAACTGTTATATAAATATTCAATACACCTATATATTTAAATATATAGAACCAAACATTATTTCATAACTAATTCACTTTAAATATAGAAGTGAAATGTCTCATAAGAATTATTAACAAACAGTGATTGCTTTTTTACAGTATTTCTATGTTTCGGAGCAGTTTTGTTATGGCGATCAGAGATGATATTTGAATATAATAAATGGAAATATTTAATGCCTTGGAAGATTTGTACATTAATTTGCCACTAGTCATGCCATCACAGACATAGGTCTTTGTCACACAAGGATTTCCAAATGTCAAAAGACGGCCTGCTAAAGCAATCTTTTAGAGTGTCTATACAGATGAGCACTTGCTTATTAATGTATAAAGAGCGAACGCAGATGAAAGGTGCAGACTTTTTTCGTGCTGTGACAGAAATCATATGCAAATCGAGCTCAGTTCAAGACTGTTTGTTAAGTGTCACACTGACGCACATTAAAATAGTACATGTAGTTAACTAATCATCATATATGATTCTGCTCATTTTATTCTCTAAGAAGCAGATCAAATATTAAGATATTTCTTCAAAGCCATGCTATTTTCTTTGACCACCTAAATCAATTGAGTGACTTGACTTAAATCTAAAAAATCTTTTTTTCTGAACATGCCCTTTTTTTGTTTACCAACCTCCCTAGGGCAGCTAAACAAATTGTACCAATCTGTTCTCATTGCCAGATCTTGCACATTATTCCAATGTACAAGGGAAGGGATAAACAGGGTGCCAGCTGACAATTGACAATTCAAATTGCTGCCTGTCAAGTTGTAAACAATTTGTTAACATTTATATTTTTATTAGGATAGTTTTTATTTGCAACTACATAATTTTTTTTAATGAATGAATTACACCATGTCTATATCATTAACAAGTGAATTGAGCTGTATGATTCTGTAATCAGTGCCGATGTCACCTCTTCTCTTATATGTTTCCATTTGTTAGTCATCATTTATTTGCATGCTTTTCTGATCCAGTGAAGAATGCTGGTGTATGTGTTGGCTTTCTATAAATAAAATAATAATGAGGATTTTAGGTTTTTATTAGAACACAACGCCTTTGCTCATTTTGGTAAGCAGAGCCAGGGTCCTAATAGCCTACGTTGACCAGAGTACCGAAACAGGGTCTGTGCACCCTAACTTTACCAGACTCTGATTCCAGGGTCTGCGCACCCTAACTTTACCAGGCTCTGAAGCCAGGGTCCATGTGTCCTAAGTTGACCAGAGTCTTCACTGCTATTATTATTGAGCCATCAAAACAAGCAGACCACTCTGCATTTTAGGTCAAACAAGCTGTTTCTTACAGTATCTCACAAAAGTGAGTACACCCCTCACATTTTTGTACATATCTTATTATATCTTTTCATGTGACAACACTGAAGAAATGACACTCTGCTACAATGTAAAGTAGTAAGTGTACAGCCTGTATAACAGTGTACATTTGCTGTCCCCTCAAAATAACTCAACACACTGTTGTGTTTAGTACAAAGGGTAAGTACTACTAGAAATCTCTGATATGAGTGCACTAACTGTAATTTCCAACACAATATGCAGATGGTAATCCAGAGTGAAATAATAGGAGGTAAGACCAATTATGCAAATATAATAGTTACTACTCCTCTACTCTAAGTAAGTTCAGCTGAAACATAATTTTCTCTTGAGCCAACTGTCAATTATTCACCACGAGCCAGACATTCTCCAATGGTCCTGAGTGCTCTCTCCCGATCCAGCAATTCCCATGCTGGACATGATGATATCTGATGTTTTTCCAATGTTGGAAATGATGCAGAACACTTTGCGTCTCCCTCCCATTATTCAAGTCCCAGCCAGCATCTCATGTGGGCACCATACAAGTACTCTGGGCAAACACAATATTGGTCACATTCATTTTTACATCACATTTGACACAAGCCAATCAGAGGCCACAGGAGCTTATATAAAGGCCTTGTGACCTCTCTTCATCCATATGTCTTGGTTATCATTAACCTGATAGTGCGTTCCTTAATCGTTAGTATTTCTGGTACCTGAATTGGCTTTGTTTAATTGTTTCTTTTCTGTATTCTGGTATACCTGACCCTTGACTCTGTTATGCTCATTTATCTGTCTGTCTGCAATCCTGACTGTGACGGACCGCCTGGCACCCCGACCAGGTACCTCCGTCAATCGCTGCTTGCTAGTACTTGCTAGCATCATAAGCACTGTACTGGAACACCATAAGCACCATAAACCCCACGAACCACCGCAGCTTGGTTGGGGTCTCGCTGTCCTCCACCCACCTTTGGCCCAAGACCAGGATCCAGCTTCCAGTGGGTAGACCTCTCCTAGTCCTGAGAGAATAGCAGGAACAGCTCTTATAATACAATATGCATAGTTACTCCATATGAACATGCATATGTGTATAGTCCAAACACCATTGTAGCAAATACTTACTATTTGATATGACTGCAGACGTATTTCAGCTCCTACTACTTCTACTGCTACTACTGCTATAAGCTTGCTCATATGCAGCTGGCCTAGAAGGCTGTGAGCATATGGGATCAAAGCATGGCAGAGGGGTAAACTAATCTCTGTTTAATGGGACCCACACTTGGCCTTATATGACAATCCCCGTGCAAGGGGTACATCCACAGGGACCTTGTGGGGGACTGATTTGCAACTTCACAGACCAATAACAATAAGGTTACAAGGCACAACACTCCCACACACAGCACACAAGCCCTTCCATCTGGCTGGGAGATGATTGGATCAGTAACTATACTAATTCTAATCCAATTATCTCCAAGCACAGAAAAACACACCTTTTAAAAACACCACAAAAGTACCCTAAAAATATACAAAAACCTACAAATAGCCCTGATCTGGATGACTAACATATCCAAAAATAACCCAGATCAGTTCAGGGGCTCAGGAATTTCCTGGAAGTCTTATTTTTGACCAACCATGCACGTGGTCCTATGCCCAAAACAGTTCAAGGGAATCTTGTCATTTCCATCTCAAAAACATTGCGAGCATCCGCCCCTACTTAACGCCAGATGCGACTAAGGTGTTGGTCCATTCCACTGTCCTTTTTCGCCTTGACTACTGTAATCTGCTTCTCAGTGGTCTTATGTGCTCCCAACTTGCGCCGTTACATTCCATAATGAATGCGGTGGCGAGGCTCATCTTCCTGTCCGCCCACACCTCCCATGCCTCACCCTTCTGTCAGTCCCTACATTGGCTTGCTATAAAATATAGAGCTCAATTTAAAATTCTGGTTCTTGCTTTCAAATCTCTACATAATGCTGCTTCCACCTATTTATCCTCCCTTATACACAAGTATGTCCCGTCTAGGCCCTTACGATCTGCTGAAGACTTACGTCTATCTTCTGTCCGTACTCCCACCTCTGATGCTCGTCTTCAAGTTTTCTCGAGGGCTGCACTGTTCCTGTGGAACTCGCTTCCCTCCTCCTTTAGATGCTCACCCAGTCTCCATTCCTTCAAAAAATCGTTAAAAACCCACTTCTTCATAAAAGCGTATCAATTAAACTGTTAATAGCTCCTGACTGATTCCTCTTCTGCAACTGTCACTAGTCTAATACTATCCTTACCTTTTTGTGTCATTTTACCCCACTCCCTCTAGCATGTAAGCTCATTGAGCAGGGCCCTCAAACCCTCTGTTCCTATGTGTCCAACTTGTCTGGTTACAACTACATGTCTGTTCGTACACCCATTGTAAAGCGCTGCGGAATTTGACGGCGCTCTATAAATATCATAATAATAATAATAATAAAGGGCTCTAATACACATAGTATAGGAAAATATTTAAGTTAGATTAACTTTAAATCTGGGGGCGTGGCTAACCGCTGAGCAAGATGGACGAAAATATGCTCCGGTGCATGGGCACACAATCTAACTTAATCCAAGCATACAAAGCTGCATCGAAAAAACAGAAACCTGACCATGTCACAACATAAAAGCAAGAAGAGTTCTTCTAAAACAGAAAATCTAAATAATCTTTTCAGAAACACAACCCTGCGACCCTGGCCGCGCAGGCCTTAATTAAAGAAAGCGGAGAGGGGTCAGAGGACAGCATTCAAATGCCTGATTTTGATACAGAGACCTTGTCAACCCGGATCACCAAATCAGATCTAAATGAAGCACTAGATGCGCAATCAAATAAACGTATCAATATTTGGCAACACACAGCAGATTCCCTGCGCAAAGACATACAGATTGGGAAGCTGACATCCCATATGGAGGACAAATGCGACAAATTTGCGACTTAGCAACAAATGTAGAACATATGGCAGCCAAAATGGAGATCAAAGACTCCAAGATTACTAATATGAAAGATCGGGCATACAGGAAGAGGGGTCCCAGAAGATGTCTCACAGACAGACTTACCAGCATATGTTAGGTGGCCTTCTACATGCCTATGCTCCAGAGATCCCAGCAGACATGCTGCTTGTAGATTGGGTACACTGCATACTAAAGTCGCGCCATCTTCCTAACTCCACACCGAGAGATGTGCTGCTTCGCGCGCACTATTTTCACATCAAAGAGCATATCTTGTGTGCTAGCCGAACAAAAGCTAAACCGCCGGAAGACTATGCCACAGTGAGGATATTCACGGACCTATATGCAGCAACCCTTCACAAGAGAAAGGACTTCTCCTCTGTGGTTGAGGCCTTGAGAGCGCATGGCCTGTGATATCGATGGGGGTTCCCCACAAAGCTAATTGTCATCAACGCGATTCATACACCTGGCGATGGCCTCCAAAAATGGAAAACCTGGGGAATGCTGGCTCCATCTGCGGAACAGGCTGCACCGACAACAAGTAGGCTCAAAGCATACAGGAACAAAGTGCACAAGCAATGCTGAACAGCCGGAGGACAGCAAGTATGACCCTGAAAGGTTTAATATTATAGACACTCTACATGTTCCTCTAAGTTGCACTATACTGTTGGGAAGCAATGTTCATCCCAATAGTTAATTTTATGGTTTTGCAATTAGTTAAGTTGTTACTTAATTTAAATATTCTCCTAATGCTTAGTATGGTAAGGTTAACACCTGGATCTGACACTTTTAAATAGAGACATGAAACGGGAAAGAGGTGGAAAGATAGCCCGACACACAATCCCACTGGGTCACGGAACACGCTGTGACAATGCAAACACAGAGCAGCTATACAGAAAGGTGACAGTGGGACACGCGTCAATCCATATAATGTTTAAATTACACACCCCACTATGAGCCAGGAACATACAACTAATGGTGTTATGAAATGGGCGGGCGGCATGCAGGATGGGGGAAGAGTTGTTGTATCAAACGTGTTATATATATCTTCTATAACACATTGAACAAAGTGCATATTTATATGATTTATCACATGCAGATTGAGTAATCCACTTATGCTACATCTAGAAACCAGGCTCAAACTAACACTGACACAGCAGTTAAACAAAACCCTTGACTGCGGGAACAAGGCACATTTGGATCTTCCTCCATAAATAGTACTTTGCTGACCTCATCCTCTCTCTTCATTGCAAAATGCATAATGTGAACGCTTTCTCAGGTTTAGACCGCACCACCTGTGCAGCAGGAAGCTTTGTCTTTTCTACAGACTATGCCCAATAGCCACATCCATGGAGAAAGCCCATCTCTCTTACCTCCGCAATGCGGTGGTACCACACGATATCTCCATAGGAAATAATCTGTACATACTTCTGTTAACCCTTATATACTGTGCCTCCCACACTTTTCCTCCTTTCTCCATAGTTCTCACAGGTCCACAGTGCCACGCAAAATGGATTTGTCAAGCTGGGTCTAAGCACAACCTGCCTGTGGGCTCCAAATTTTACACTCTGTTCACAATTCACAGAATGGGTGCCATCTCCTACTGTAAGACTATGGCACATTCATCTGTATCCTTTACATATACCAATTCACACTTAGCAACAGGTATGAAGCACTGAAGCCTATATACCCTAAATAAAGTATGAACATACAAACTAATAATGTACGTGGCCTAAGTTCGCCACATAAAAGACGCATCCTCCTAGAAGATGCCAAACGAAACAAAATAGATATTTTGTGTCTCCAGGAAACACATTTTGTGCATAATAGAGTACCTAACTTTGCTAGCCGAGACTGTCCAACACAATACCATGCAACTCACTCATCCAAATCGAGATGGGTGTCCATACTTATACACAGTTCCCTAAGATTTGAACACCTGCAACTCAAAATAGATACACAAGGTAGATACATAATACTACACAGCAAAGTAAATGATACGCTGTATATCATAGCGGGAATATACAGACCCAACGAAAACCAAACGAACTTCCTACATAAAGTGCTAGCAAAATTACCCACACCACAGGCAACACCAATTATAATCTGCAGAGATCTTAATCATATCTTACAACCCCAACTGGACACAACACTGACAGACACTTCGCCCAGACAAAAAATTCTGCGAACACAATGCAAAGCACTCACAAAACTAAAATCAGAATATGGTTTCTATGATGTTTGGAGGATATACCACCCGAATGATCGGGAGGACTCATTCTACTCATCAGTACACAAAACATATTCAAGGATAGACTTAATTTTTGTTTCAGGGTATTTGCTCCCACACACAAACCACTGTACAATTAGAGATATAGTGTGGTTGGGCCAGTGGCGTACTAAGGGGGGGACGGGGGGGCGGTCCGCCCTGGGTGCCAGCCGGGTGGGGGGTGCCATGGCCAGCCCCGCCGCCCCCCCCCCCATGCTGCAGCCGCCCGAGCGCTCTGTAGGGAGCCTCGGGCGGCTGCAGCTTTGCCCGGGCGGTGCGTCCATGAGGGCGGACCGCACCGCCCGGGCGCAGCCTGAGGAGAGGGCTGACAGGAGGGTCCTGTCACTCCCTCACTGCAGCATGGTCCGCGGGTACAGGAAACAACAGCTCCCTGTACCCGGCGGACTAACTGAGAAAGTGAGCACTGAGTATTGCACTTCCTGTCCCGGCAGTCCCTGTACCCACATGAGACCTGAGCTTCGGCCGCGCTTCTAGCACCTGAGTGGTAGGGGAGGGGAGAGAGGGGAGGAGAAGGGGGTAGAAAGAGAGGGGTGAAAAGAAATAAGAGGGGTGTGAGAAAGAGAAATAGAGAGTGTAGAAAGAAAATAAAGAGTGTGAAAAGGTAGGGGAAGTGTAAAGAAATAAGGGGTGAGAAAAGAAATAAGGGGTGTGAGAAAAATAAGAGGATGGCGAAAATGGGGGGTGTGAGAAAGAGAAATAAGGGGGGGGTGTGAGAAAGAGAAATAGGGGGGGTGTGAGAAAGAGAAATAAGGGGGTGTGTGAGAGAAATAAGGGGGGGGGAGAGATTGACATTCATCACATACACACAATGCACCCCTTGCACACAGAAAAACACACAATGCATTACACACACAGACACACATACACAAGCAATGCAACCGTTACACACAATGCATCCCTTACACACACAGAAACACACAATGCATTCATTACACACACTCAATGCACCCCTCACACACATTCAATGCATCCCATACATACACAGAAACACACCTTGCAGCCCTTACACATACAAACACAATTTCACACAATGCATTCCTTACACACATATCAGGACATCCCCTACACACTCCACCCCCTGTGAACAAACTCATTGGTGGAACCTGAAGGTGGACCCTGGGACCCAGACCTTGAGCTGTGTAAAGGACCCCCAAAAAATGGAGCTGCCTCCCGTTCTCCCAGAACATTGATTTTTGTGACCACAGTTACAAACCGCCTCCAGAGAGCCTGTTCTGCACCACACCAGTTTCCTTTCATGACACTGTCAAAAAGTGACCAAGCATGGATGTCATTACAATTATGCCCCCCCTGCAGACGTCCATGTTAGTGGGTCAAGCTTTCCTTTCAGGTTAGGTTGTTACGCGTTACGGCAAGTTCTAGTAAGGTTTTGTGTTTCTGCATAGAGATAAACTCACGTATAGTGCTGGTTAGGTAGGCATGTAACATATGACATATAATGCATGGCATATAAAGGCAAGATCTAACTGCATGCTTCGTTCTATAATAAACATCGTTGCGTTTCTTTCCTGGTCAAGGTTATTCAAGATATCTTCATCCTAGATAAACATTATGTGGATATTTTTTTCTGTGAACATTTGCCCATTCAGTGGGTCTGAGAGTATGAACACATCTGTCGGAGTGGTACAGTTTTCGTTTTAGTAGTGTTGAACTTGTGTATATGTATAATCATTGATTTATTGTAGTTTATTTTGAGTAACTTGGAAGGTGGTGGTACTTATTCCTTGTGAGGCCTGTTTGGGTGTGTATTCCCATAACCGCCATGGAGTGCTCTGTAGACATTGCTCCCATTGTTCCCAGGCTTCACTCCAAAAGCGTTTTGGGGGCAACAACTGCATCACCATTATTTTGTAGGTTTTCGTGGTTTCTGTAGTGTTTGTACACAGTGACATAGTGGATGCTGAGGTCTGCAGCCCTGCTTTACATAACACCATTAGTGACGCTGTGATTATGTGGTAAATTAAGTACAGTTTGTTCTTGGGCAGCTTTTCAGGGAGCCGGTACAATAAATAGGTCTCTGGTTCATGTGATAGTCTAAGACCCGTTCATTTTTAATCTCACATGGAAAATAGCAGAACAAGCCTAAAAATCCAGAGGGGGCAAGTGCCCCCCCCTTGCCCTCCCTGTGGATGCCCATGCCCACTAAAGATTTCATACTAAGCAGGTCCACATCCAAATTCTGGCACTCACAAGAGAAAGTTCTTATTGCTGGTTGATTATAAAATTCTCATGGATCTAGAACTAACTCCTCTTACCCCTCCCAACCCTACCCCCTTTTTTTCCTCCCTTACATTAGTAAGTTTATGGTTCTCATATCAACTTTACTTCCTCACATTTACAAGAGGAACACAACAAAGAAATACAGAGACTCTCAGGGGACAGGTCCTGTAAGAGGGCCGAAAATACTTAACTGGATTACAAATGTTGACAAAGGTTGTTTTATGCAAATGTACTATCTTTCTGAATCACACCTCTGTATGACTGTTTGATCCAATGTCCTATTTACCTGACTATGTGCATGTACCTAAAAACCCCAGTAAAATGTTTTACTAAAAAAAAAAAAAAATTTAAATCTGAATTAGCGTTCTCCATCTCCTGCACAGCAGAACATCTTACAATGGTAAAAGAATAGTTATACCAAAAGAAGAACAAGATACATTGACAAAGCAATGTGCCTGAAAT